TTCGGCACCAGAGGAGGGTGGAGTCCTTGAACAGGAGTGGGAGACACGGACGTAGTTGTTCCCGCGTCATTCCATAGCTGGTACGTAGATCCTCTAGTCGTTCGAGGAAGGCGATACCGTCTTTCCCGTCGAATTGACAACCCCACTTTCGTACGGTGTCTAGGATGGCCGCGGTTCCGGCCAGGCCCTTCGTGCAGTGCTGTATAATCGGTTGGTTGGTCCTTTTTGTCCAGGTCGTCGTCCTGTTCGTCCTGGCTGTCGTCCTCGGAGTCGGGAAGAGGGGACCCTTTTGCGTCTCGTACGCTTTTCAAGAGACGGGTGCGCAGTTCGTCGCGTTTGCCGTCGGTCGGCAGTTCGCGTTCGTTCAGTGCCTTGATTAACTCCTTCGAGAGGGCGTGTATCCACCCGGTGGTGGTCGGCGTCGCCATGTCGGTGCGGCTTTACAAAATTATCTACTATCGTTGTCGGTCTCGATTTTCCGCGATCTAGTCTTTATTCGTCGGTCTTTCACTCTTCGAGTCCCTGTTCGGGCGCCATTTGTAACGTTGGAATTTTTGAGCTACGGATAGCCTGGAGATTTCAAGGTTCGGTCGGTGGGCGTGTCGATGAGTGAAGGAAGAGACTGTGTTTCTAATAAAAGACTGGTTTATTCTTACTCTATGATTCTTACACCTAATTGCTTATATCTAATACTTAAACTATATATAATACTATCGCTTATAATACTATCGCTTATAATGCTAAGGCCGCTTTGGCGGCGGTATTTCTGTTTGTATGCTGGCGCGTCGCGCTGCTTGTAATTTACGGGGTGTACGATTCGTGGGTCGGACGCCGGGTGTGTTCGGCTTCAGTGGCGCGAGCGCGGTATGTTCGGTATCGGTGTTCGGCGGCGCGGGCGCGGTATGCTCGGTTCGGTCGCGCTGTTATCGCATGCGTGGTTCGGCGGACGTGGTCGCGGCGCGTGTCGCGGCTGCCGGTGACAGCTTGAGGCACGTGTGTGGAACGGGAGGTTAGGTCGGTGTGTCGTGATAGTGCCGCTCAGTCCGCGGATTCTTTATCGGTTGGTGCTCATTACGCATCGAACCGTGGAGGAATTGGCACTCAGCTCGTGCCTCGGAAGAGAGGAAGCGGTCGCTCAGTACGCGGCCTGGGGTAGACACTCAGTTCGTGTCGTGCGAGGTGTGGTAAGTGACTCCGTTCAACGCGCGGTTCAGGGGTACCGTGTCCGGCTCAATACGCCTTCTCCGGGGAGACGACCTGCTCAGCTCGCTGGTCGGAGGATTCTGATTCTCTCGCCTCGCTCGGGTTCTTATTATACCGTAAGTTAGTGGGCGCGGGGTTAAAAACGAGACAGGGGAAGAGCGCGAGGTGGGGAGCAACGTTGCTCTTTGTTGTCACGTTACAGGCATATATACATATACAGATGCATCATTTATTTTACATGTGAATAAACATATACTTGTAATAAAAGCACCAAAAAGTGATATTTATCGACTGCGTCGATAAGTAGATGTGTCTCCGTAGTTCTTACATCCACTTTTGATGGCGAAAATCGGTCCCAAGTAAACCCTACGGCGTGGCCGCTCTCAGGCTTCTCTCTGGCCGAGCGGGCGCTCGCTGCTTGCGTTTATCGGTGGCCGCCGCGCGCCCACCCTTCGCCTGACGGTCGGCGGCATCCGGTTCTTTGCCGGGAACGATACGTATTTCCGGGCGTATCGTTACAGTACTAATTTCGTGGATCCAATAACTGGTATTCATACACAAAATATAGAACGTGTATGGCGTGATATGCGAGCAGCAATTCCAAAGTACGGAATATCTGGAAATCATTACAAACATTATTTAGCAGCTCTTTGACTATATAATCATGGACTGCTAGTTGCCTCCACTTTGCCTGGTCTAACACGTAATCAACATCACGAGTGCCGCCATAGGATAAATGGCAGAAAATCAAAACACTAAGTCAGATTTAATGGTAAAACAGGACAGAAGACAGAGATAGAATATAGCTTATGTCGTGCTGTTTTATCATGTTTATCAGAGTTCAGAACCAGTTATATTATAATTGGTTCTGAACTCTGATAAACAGCACGACATAAGCTATATTCTATCTCTGTCTTCTGTCCTGTTTTACCATTAAATCTGACTTAGTGTTTTGATTTTCTGCCATTTATCCTATGGTGGCGTTCGTGATGTTGATTACAGCCTGAATGCGGCAACTAGCAGTCCATGATTATATAGTCAAAGTAGCAGCTAGCAAGAATATTCTTAAAAGTCGCCAGAAGTAATTAATAACATCAGTGATTTTTATTGACCGTCTGGCAATTTTTGTAATACAGAAAATTTATTGCGAAAAATATTATCTCAGCCAGTGTTTGAACCTGGACCTCCCCATACAGAACATAAATATCTATTAGATATCTAATGAATATCCTCGACGGATATCAGGGATATCCACGAATATGTATAAGAGATATCCATTAGACGTGCATTAGATATCCAAATGTCCGCAATACGAGATCTACAGATATCCATACGATATTTATGCCAATGTCCATTAGACATCCATATCAGTATCTAATGGATATTTATATAGATGTTCCATAGATATCCATTTCATGTATTTTTATATTAATATTTCTTTGATAATTTTAATCAATGTCTATTAAGGTGTATTGAAATATAGCAGTGTATTGAAAGCATTTACTGTTTTTGTTTCTCCTAAGTTTTGAATGTCATATAAAACCTGAGGATATTACCAACTACTTGATAAGGACCACAATACGGATGGTCGAAACGTAGTGAATGCAAAATTTCCCAACTAACGTTTCTGCCAGTTGGGTCGACTGAACATTCCAGATATTGATATTTGTAGCTGTTTAGTAGCTACGTTACTTATTGTCAGAGTACCAGGAGATGTTATTCGTTTGATAGAGTGGGGGCCCTGACAAGGGCCGGTTGATCGTTCCTAACTAGTGGAGAAAGTCCTGCACGCGTGTAATCCGGAGTTATTGCCCGTGGCAGCGTGGTAGGAATTAAATCTTCCTGAAGAGACGGTTCCTGCCGTTGCGAAAGGAGTCTGGTAACCTTGCTGGGTTGTGTGATTACTCGTTCAGCTGGAGGTACTGTCACCACAGATACAATCCGTATCTGGCTCTTCTTCTTTGACAGAGCTTCCTCTGGAGAGCTGGACGGCCGGATATTGGGCCGTCGCGTTTTCCGTGGCGGCGAGGAAGGCGTTGGGTTTACCTCGTAGAATGCCGCTTTTTACTGCAGACGCCCAGGATGACGCCACTCTGCTCTTGTCGTAAGAAACGACAGCGATTTTGAAGTCTCTCTGCTCCCGTCGTAAGGAACGACGGCGATTTTGAAGTCTCTCTGCTCCCGTCGTGAAGAACGACGGCGATTTTGAAGTCTCTCTGCTCCCGTCGTGAGGAACGACGGCGATTTTGAAGTCTCTCTGCTCCCGTCGTGAAAAACGACGGCGATTTTGAAGTCTCTCTGCTCCCGTCGTGAGGAACGACGGCGATTTTGAAGTATCTCTGCTCCCGTCGTGAGAAACGACAGCGTTGTCTGGAACCGTCGTTAGGAACGACAGCTTATTCGTATCGAGGATTCTTCCAGTCAAGGAATCGTCCCGCGACAGGTTATCCCACTGGAATACTTGCCCTGGCTTCCACGCGGGCCTCCTTTTATACCCTACGAGACTGAATTTTGCTTCCGAGTTTTTGGCCGCCACCATGCGCGGCCTAGCGGCGGTCGGCGAACTACTCAGAAGCTGGCGCTCGCGCGCCCGCGCGCGTGTCGCGCAGTGCCGGATTGCCAATTTGTGCCGGATCGCGTGTTGCGACCGCCACAATATTTATATTTGTCCGTTAAAAAACTTTTCGTTTATAATTAGTTACAAAAAGCTGTACGCAGTTGTGTAAAAATATGTATGAAATTTGTTCATACATAACTACATATGATATGTGTTTCAAATTCTGCTCGCTTTGTCAGCAAAGATAATGTTGGATTGATTCGTGGGCTCGCCTTTTATATTAATGCAGAATGATTTTTAATTACGAGAAAGTGTAACGTGCGATTGCCGCGTCGCGGCAGCAGATGGTACTAGTTTGAATATCTAATGTATATCTTTGGTAGCTATTTGGTGGACACGGATGTGTGGACAACACGTAAATATCTAATGGATATCTTTGATAGCTATTTGGTGGACATGGATATGTGGATAATGCATGCATATCCATTAGATATCCTCGTAAGTTATGCGGGAGATATAGACATTGTATACATCTATTAGATATCTACATGTTATCCATAGTAGATATGGATATCATATGGATATGTAGATATCTATTAGATATCTATTAGATATTTTGTTCTGTGTGGGTCCCTTCTCTCTAGGCGGACGTCTCAACAAATTCGACCACCGAGGCATATTATAATATTAGTTTCAATAACAGTATAAAGATGTTGTTTACGCGTCTATTTCGACTTTTCAGAACTGCGCGCCAGTTCAGTGATTTTTATTGACCGTATCTGGCAATTTTTGTAATACAGAAAATTTATTGCGAGTATTTATTGCGATTACTAGTTGATTATACACCAATGACCTCAAACATGGTGTTCCTCCGTAATAGGGGGAATGGGATCGGGGGGAAGGAAGGGACAGGGAAATTAAAAAATCGCGTATCGACAGTTCAGGGTACGGTTGACAACCCTTATCGGCGCGCAATTCTAAAAAGTCGAAATAGACGCGTAAACAACATTTTTCTACTGTTATTACGACTAATATTATCATATGCCTCGTTGTCGAATTGGTTGAGATGCCGGCCTAGAGAGAAGGGAGGTCCAGGTTCAAACCCTGGCTGAGGTAATATTTTTCGCAATAAATTTTCTGTATTACAAAAATTGCCAGATACGGTCAATAAAAATCACTGATGTTATTATTTAGCAGAGTTCTTATTTAAAAGGATGTATGACTTTCCTGTTCGTTTGAATACATTCTTTGATATTATGTCTCAGATATATCCATTAAACGAAAATGTATTTGACATTATAAATATATTTTGACATACTTGTTTAGGTTTTTGTGTATTTGTACTTCCGCCGTTGTACTGTTCCATATGGGTTTGCGATTTTCCACGCAAAACGAGATCCACTTCACACCTCCGACATAGTTTGGGTAGGGTTATATTTCAACGAGGTGGAGCCCCTCCGAAGGGGGAGGGGGCGCAACATACAGTCTCCACGCATTCATTTTCCCACCCACATATAAGTCACCCCCTCTCTCACCACATGTAGGTGGGAAAATGTATGCGTGGAGACAGTGGCTGTGTTCGGGGAGCTCGCTTTTGGCGCTATAAGCGCGCTATGACCGTTCGGGTAGTCGCTTCGTAGCACTAACAGCGGTAATGTTGACGTCATCGTTGGCGCTTCGTGATGTCATCATTCGTGCTAAATGTGCTCAGGATTTCGAGGTGAGGCACAAGATGCTAATAGTACTCATAGCGTTACAATGTGTTCCCCGAACGCAATATAAACTTTTACTTCTTGACTCGATTAACCTTTATATTTCATTTTACGTATTTGCTTCATATTTCTCAGTCATCTAAAGTGGATCAAATATTAGTATCTTTGCAAGATGCCGATACCGGTGTAATTTATAAAACACATCTCTCGACAAAGGATGCACAAAGAGTACGTACCGGTAAGTAAGAACAGGTTATGTATCCGTGTTCTATTTGTGATCATTAAAATTTTATTTCAGTATAATGTAAATGCAATATCGAATGTATCTAGATTCATTAAATGCATGTAACATTTTTGTATGTATTATTTAGAATAAAGTGCCACTATAGAATCACGTCAAATGAGCGATATAAATGCAGTAATATCTTTTAATTAAATACTTGGTGTTTCCATTCTTTCACTAATATCTCTTGTTTCTTTATATTTTACAGATATTGTTTTTGCTTCTAAAATATTAGAAAAATTGAAGGACGATAAAACCGAATCAGACCCATTAAACGTAGAAACATCAGATGCTGAAAATTCTGCACCAGATTCTTTTTTTAAATGGTCGCATCAAGCTGTTCTGCTTCTCATTGAGGAATATCGGAAGCGAGAAAAGGATACCACATCAGGTAAGATAATATGTCATTTACTGTAATGCTGTGTATCCTGTCATGGCTTTCTCACAGCTTTGTTTTTTAGGCAAAATATCGCAAAAGCGACTGTGGGAATCCATAAGTAATGTCCTCTGTAGCCATGGACATGATGTCACTGGTCCACAGTGCCAAAGCAAATTCAATGGAATGAAAAGGACATTCAAGTCCATCAAAGATCATAATTCTAAGTCAGGAAATAATCCTCGGTCCTGGCTTTATACTGAGGTAATGGAATCTTTGTTAGGAGAAAAACCCTTTATGAATCCCGTTGCTTTGGCTTCCTCCACGGGTCACTTACAAACTGAAAGTGAGACTAGTGATGTCTCTTCGCTTGACGACTGTGACAATTCTCACACCTCATGCTCACGCAAGAGGAAATCCTCTAATATTGCAGAGGCTATTCTTGAAAGTCGGAAGATAGCCGAAGAAAATAAATTAAAACGTCATCGACAAACAATGGAACAACGAGATAAAGTTTTAAATGCTTTAGATAAACTCATTGGTGTCTTACAAGTAATTCTTTTAATCAAGTTATTAATTTGAACCTTTAATTCTTGTTCCTATTCCTACTTTTCTAAAGTTAAATTTTACGTAGTAAGTTAGTTTTGTTTTTGTTAGCCTAGATAAGGTGTAGGCACCTGGTTATCACGAGAAACGGGTATTATATACAGCCTGATGTCTGCCTCGAAGCGAACTCCAGCCTCAACCTTAAGTAATACCTCAGGAAGTACTCGATCTCATAAATAAACCGCAGAAGACTGAAGCAACGGATCGATGAATGTGTCATCTATCATGTTAAACATGCTAGATAACAACTACATAATCAATGAAATTTAGTTTAAAGATCTCGTGCAATGTAGCAATAAGTTTTGAAGACATTACCAAAGTTTTTGTAATGTGTTTATTTTTAAGATAAGATTGATAAAAAGATTAATTTTTGTTAAAAAAAGGAATTTTGTTTATTTTTAAGCTAAAGATAAAATTCATGATAATGTTAATTTTTGTTATTTAAATAAGAATTTTGTTTATTTTTAAGCTGAAGATAAAATTCATAATAATATTAATTTTTGTTATTTAAAAAGAAATAATTTTGTTTATTTTTAAAACAAAGCTAAGATGATAAGATTAATTTTTGTATTCAGGATAAAAATATTGTATTTCGTACGCATAAAAAACACCATTCTTTCTACCATGAAAATGTAATCCCTCAAACATTGTAATACATAGTTGGCGAATAAACAATGTTTATTTCTAGCACAGTGCAAACATCATTTTCTTTGATGAGTTTACATTGACATAATGTGAGTAGTTCTCCTTTCAAAAACGGACATTACACATATGCATTAAACATTTCGCATAGAAAGTCTTTCACAAATTAAATCTCTTTTGGCAACACCTATTTGTTCAGGTGGTGGAGCATCATGACAAAAAGGATTATTATC